TTACCTGCGACCTGGAAAAAAACTGCATTACTTTAACAGAATAGGAATTAGCGCGGAAATAATGAGCGAGATCTAATAAAATAAGAAAATATTTTAGGACTAAGAGTCAGAGGCGGATCTAGTAGTTTTACGGTTATAAGCACTGCAAATATGCCACCCTTATTATTCAAAGGGAGGGGGCATTGGGTAGGCTTGGTCGAAATACTGACAATTGTCCTATCACTATAATTGCTCAAGTAAAAAATAAAAGGTCCCAAAATATAACATAACTACGTCGATTTTAAAGATGTTGTTTTAGTTTTTCGATACATTTCTCGTTTAGTGCATTGGTCGGATGACTAACTGTTAAAACAAGCATGGAAAACCTCTCATTAAAATGTGTTTTCCTACTAATTTCATAAAATAACACAACTTAAAGCGTGTTTTTTAGACCTTAAGAAAATATATATATTATACAATTATTATTTAAAAAAGTAACGAAAATGATAAAACCATATCACAGAATTTTTCAAAAGGGTTTAAATGAAAATGACCGGTAATCATTATTAGGTGGCCGAAAAGTTTTCTTTATTAGATTTTTTTAACCGTAGTTTTTTTACTGTATAGTGTACATGTAAAATTGGTTTTATATTTATTCTAACAGAAAAATCATTTTCAAGGACAAAAAATTACTGCGGCAACTTGAAAACAACAAAATGCATAATGTTATAAAAATTATTGGTAGTATATCGAACGAAAAAAATAAGTTGTTTTTCAGTGAAATATTTTCGTATATAAAAAAAATGTGTGCAAATAAGAACAATTACAACAACAACACCAACTGCACAAAATACAATAACAATTTCGTTTTAACAGCAAACGAATAGATTTTCAATTGAAACGCTCGATAAAATATCTGTTTATATTTTACATTGCCAATTGAGAACAATTAAAAAAAACAACCGGCCAGGTTAGGTTAGGGGCTGATGCAATTGGGGTTGAAATTATTATTATACTTGCTGGAATTCGAAAAAGAACATACTATGCAATGGCCTTTTTACGATATTCATATGTATATGTATATATGAGAGTTTTTATACTGAAGATTACAAAAATATCGACATATTTCCTAGCGTTGGTATAATACATTGTATAGCTGTTTATATACATGCACGTTTTAAAGCGGTTAACGTCGTGTTGGTAAATAATTGTTCAATCGACTCATAATCGGTTTTGAAAACTATTACTGTGAAATTCAAATACAAATTGGGTTCAAAACCCGTGTTTGAAATCATAGGTCAGATACATCATCGAAGGCGATTTTCCCCATACAAATCCATAGGTGTAATTAAAGGAGGGAGAGCCCATCTCTAGAATACCCCCCCCCCCCCAGTAGCTCAAAGGCTACATAAAAAAATGTAATGTATTTTTTATAATTTTCAAAGTCAGTTTAAAAAAAAAAATTTACTTTTTAAAGGTTTTAGTATGTCACAAAAAAAGGTTATGATACAAATAGATATTTTGAAGTGAAAATAATACATTGACAATCTTGATTGAACGTGTAATTGGGAACAGCATGCTTACTTATTAGACATTGAAGAAAATGCTCTTAAGTCAGAATTTATTGTAGCCAAAAACTGTTGAAAAATTTATAAGTTTGATTCCAGTGAATATGTTTTGACCCGTCTTAAGGGGTTGTAGTGGCCTGTTTATTGGACATTTTAGGCCAACTCAGGGTGGTTAGATATCAATTATGTAAACATATTTGACTAAATCGGCCACTTTTCTAGGTTAATGTAGAAATCGACTAATGATATTTCATTTAAAATTGTGTTCAAGTCTTATATTATAGTTTGCTCAAATTTGTTTTTTTCGAAGTAAAATGAAGAATAGGAACATGTAAATTAAAAAAATCGTTTACAAAAATTCTGGCTATAGTAATTAGTATACGGATTTGTTAATAAAAACCAAAGTTCAAAAATTAAGAAATCAAAATAATTTTAAGCAGTATGGTACATAGTAAAAAACCAAAATGTTACAAATAAAATATGTTATTAAATAAATAACAAAAAATGTAATACATTTTTTTCTAAAAATAATGTTCCTGTTAAAAACAATCGATTAAATAATAATGGCCTTCGACAAGTCTATAAACTTATATTTTATAATTGTTAACACATTTCTAAATTTATAGAAATTATTTTGACACTTACATCACGTATTCTTCAATTAAACTACTTATTTTTACCGATAATTATTTATTATAATTTAAAATAAATTGCCAAAAATTAATAATTATGTACTGATTTTGATTTGGAGGATTTTCTAGTAAGCCATAATGTGATTTATTTAAGGCTGATGTCTATTTTTTAATAATCATTTTTTTGGCTTCACGAGACTGTTGCGATGATTGTAATTATTATTATACTTGCTAGGATTATTTGGGAACTAATATACTATGCAAAATCGAGAATTTTTATACAGAAATATTAACACATTTTCTAGCGTGACATAATATACCGTAGGTGTATAATACTTGGTCTAGTTTAAAAAACACATTTTAAAACGGTTAGGAGGGCCTCTTAAACGTCTAAAGATGTAGTAAATAAGTAGAAAAATATTGTGCAAGTGTATTGTTCAAATATTAAAAAAAAAAAGTTTTTATTCTTAAGGGGATGCGGTCAGTTTTCTGTAGGCAATATTAAAAAAAAAGATGTTTTAATATAGTATTTCGATCATTTCAATTAATTTACCGGTTAAATTGTGTAAGTTTCCAAGGTATTATTTTTAATTTAAATCATTTTTTTCTACGAGTAACAGCCATTTATAGGTTTATTTTAGACCAAAAGGCCAGACACATTTGTCGACGATATAGGATGGTCCAATTTCCAGCTCTTTGGTTAATTTTATATGTTATGTAGGAAGTAGGTTTTCATTTAAAAATTTCAGCTTCTTATAGTTAAATAAATTAAATTTGCATTTTTTTAAAATATTAAAACCCAATACAACTAAGGTGATTAGTGTAATGGGTGCTTATTTATTAAAAGTGGTAGTATTATAGTATATACCAATAATTGTGTTTAGTTTGAATTTCAGACTATCAGCTCTTCGTAAAGCTTTTATTTTGTAATATTGACTTTTATACCAAATTCGAAAACTTATATTTTCTATACAGTAATATCTCCTTACAAAGATTTACTCGTTGTATTTAAAAAAACACTTGTCGGCAATTGAAATCTCTTATGAAATTCAAATTTGGCATATGGATGAAATTCGTTTGGGGTGAATCGAGTTTGAAAATTCCGTGGGACATAGCCCTCTCAGTTTAAGTACAACCTAGGTTGTAATTCACGAGCAGAAAAATATTTTGCACGAGTATTGTTTAAATAACAACATGCTTTCATATAAAAAATATGAAGGTTATCTTTGTACGAATTTACAAAAGCCGTTTTCAATAGATTAAACACAGGTGTGAGAGGCCTTTCGAACGATGCCAAGGTGCATTTTGTTCGGTCCCTTTAAACACAATTCTGATAGCTTAAGAACTCGAAGTAAATTTAATATCAATTTTAAACGTAGATAACAAAAAAACAAGTACCATCTTTCCCTCGAAGGAAACACATTGAAACAAGAATATATTATATTGTGACCTTCCCCCTTCCGAATCTAAACTATCAGAAGACGATCGTCCTAATTGTTTGTTAATTAATGGTTTTAGTTTTTTGTTTTTGCCAAAAAAAAATCTTAAAGAGGTCTTCGTAAAGCTTCTTATTTTCATAAACGAGAAGTAAATAATTTTTAAGACTCGTTTAATATTCACAAAATAAGAGCCATTTAAATGATGAAAAAAATAGATCACCTGGACTAACTACAGTGAACGCTGTAGGATCCAGGTAGAGGTGTAATATATACATTAGGGTGGTCCTTAGTTATAGATGAAGAATTTTTTTAAAAAGTTTTTCATTGGGCTACCCCGCCATTTTGTTCATTACTATGAAAACAAAATTTGGGTAGAATTTGGTTTTGATAACTCACCCCCTTCACGTGCCGCAAGGGGGTTGAAAAATGACCAAATGGGGTAGTTTTATAGTTTTTCGAGTTTAAGTAGAAAGCTATTGCATTTAGCATAAAATTACATATTAACTTTATGATAGATCATTAAATTCTCTATAAAAAAGGTTCCTATACATTTTTCAAAAAATGCATTATTGTCCAAGAAAAAAAATAAAACATACCTTTTTTCATTTATTTGGAAAAACTGGTTTTCTACGGGTATTTAAATATTTGAAGAGACAAACATTTTTTTATAGGAAAAAATATGATTATTTTATTTTGTTCCCGGGTCGATTGCTATATTTTTTTTTCTAACGATAATTTTCGTTTTTCACAATATATTTGTTTAAACGATCTTTAAATAAAAAATAGTTGATCGTATGAAATTTTTCCTTATAGTCTATTTTGTAGGAAATGTAATTTTTTATAAAATGCATTGAAAGCGTTTTACTCTATTTCCAATCGTTCATCAAACATATTTAAATACCCGTAGAAAACCAGTTTTTCCAAATAAATGAAAAAAGGTATGTTTTATTTTTTTTCTTGGACAATAATGCATTTTTTGAAAAATGTATAGGAACCTTTTTATAGAGAACTTAATGATCTATCATAAAGTTAATATGTAATTTTATGCTAAATGCAATAGCTTTCTACTTAAACTCGAAAAACTATAAAACTACCCCATTTGGTCATTTTTCAACCCCCTTGCGGCACGTGAAGGGGTGAGTTATCAAAACCAAATTCTACCCAAATTTTTTTTTCATAGTAATGAACAAAATGGCGGGGTAGCCCATTAAAGTTTTAAAAGTTCATAAATAAGAACCACCCTAATATACATACATAGATTTAACTTATTTAATGAACCTGTTTCCTTTTCGTTGCACACTTGAGAGTTAAGTTATTTACAGCTACTATCGCCTGTTGACCTCCTCAGGCGATATAGTACATATAATATGATTGACAAAAACATGGAGGAAAGTAAGATTATAGAACAAATGCTAAATGGGTTAAACGAAGAGACTTATTGTTAGGTAATATCTATGGATAACTCAACCCTAGAGGCATTGAAAAATAATTTAAAAACATATACATCATATGTATCTTTGCGTAAGAAGAAAAATTGTACAGGGTAATATATTTACTTAGATGAATATATTGTATTACCCAGTATTGGTATACTACAATTTCACAACACACTATATATATTTGGCGGTGTCAAACGATATGTAAAATTATAGTGTAAGCATGGCTTATCAACTGTATTGTACTAAACAATTAAATATTATGTACAGAATTATCAACTTGAAATAAGGGTTTGCACTCAAAAATGGGTCAACATAAAAAAAAAAAAAAATAATTTGTTTTAATTCCTTGTAAAGTTTATTGTATATTCTTTTGTATGTTGAGCTTGGACACGGGCCATAGATTATAACAGGGCCTGTGTAGTTGCAAATACAATTCGGGTATTCTCCATCTTCATTTTCCAAATATCCACCTCGGTCAGTAAGCATTTTCAAAAGTGTATATTTTCTAGACACTTTTGCAATTTTTTTGAAAAGCTGTTCCCTCCGATGTCTTGCCATCTCGATTAACTGATGTAGACTACTGTCAATACATATTTGTACACAACTTGACTATATTTTAAGTCATTCCAGTTCCCCACTCATAATTTTGTTTAATTCATCTTGAAGATTATTGTATATACTTTTGATGATTGCACATGGACACGGTCCATCGATTTGATCCCCTCTCGTGGAATTGCAAGTACAATTGGAATATTTGCCATCGTTATCTGCAGTTGACAAGCCATATTGCTCGGATGTGTTTTTTCTAATTGAATATTATACAGATTACTGACCTGCAATAGAATTGTTAGCACAATAGACTGCGGCATCCTTTGATGCACTGAAGAATTGGTAGTGATAAAATTGTTTACACCACTGACCTTGACTTTGAATTTATAACAATAGTGACGTCATTCTATTGTGTGCCAAAACCGCCATTTTTTAGACTACTTAGAAAAAATTATTTCAGTCCCAATAATGGTAATTATAACATTAGTAGTTAAGATGATGCTCGTGGTATTAATAATATAAATTTACGCAATCAACAAGGGTATAGGAATATCAATCCTAATGGACTATAATGTAAAGTCAAATAATAATAACACTCAAAGACAACCCCCGTTAGTAGAAATTATAAGTGGCTGTGTTATTAATGACAAAAATAGTGTGAGTAATAATCTAGTAATTAGAGGTATTTTAAATAATGTAGGTTATAAGTTTACTATTGACTCAGGAGCAAGCGTAAGCGTTATTAATGAATCTTTACTTCCAAAAAAATCAATACGTTAATTAATTTAAGCAAGCAAAATTATATGCAGTAAATTTCGTAGGAAAAACAAATATTATAATGTATTTTAATAATGTGCCGTTTGAAATAGCATGCGCAGTGGTGTAAAATTTGAAAGGTAATAAATAAAATAGACATCATAATGGGATAAATAATGGTAATGTTAGGGCTACATTCAATAGGAATTATAAGACAACCCAAAATCGCTATAATGGTACCAGAAATATGAATTTTAATTATACCAGTATCAATAATAATAGGTCTACTTGTAGTAGTTTTAACAATCAAAAGCCCTATTTTACTAGAGTTCTGTGTATACCTAATTAGAATTTTAACGTAGCCTATAAGCCAGGAAGACAAATTTGTGTCCAAACTCCAATTCCCTTACAAATATAAACACACCGAGCTAGTAATTAGCAAATATTTACCTTACAATAATAAATTTAATTAATGTTAGACTGAACAACTTAGCGATATTTAATAGACAGTCTATAATTTTCTGTTTCGAGTTAAAATAGTTTAATTGTTACAAATTATAACTATACGGTTATCCTTCTAGCCATGCTAATATGGCCAGGGAACTTAAAGAGATTTACTGACTAAAGTAAATATCATTAATGATACGTCTTGTATCATTGTACTCATTCCAATTTTACTTTTAACCCGCGACACATAATAATCATATTTTATCAATACATAGGTCATGTTTTAATACTTCTGAAATACAACGTTAAAGCTTAATTTTTCTAGCTACATTTAAATGTCATCGATGGCATCGTATATGTTAATATTCGTTTAAAGTAGACGCGCCACTACGTTTTAGCGATTTAATTTTCATTTGCAATTGCAAACACAATTTTCGGACTGAGGTGCCATACATGCTAAAATTCGCTCCCATCATGTGCCTGTCAAAATTATGTTTGCATTTAACTAAGGCTATCTGCAAAAATACAATAGTTTTTTTTTCTTACCCGAAAAACAAATTGTATAGAGTCATGTTGCAAGGAAAGCGTTGAAATTCAGCACAGTGCTGTACCTGACTTTGACCTTTCTAGTTTTTCTTTTATTGTCAAGATATTTCACAGTAGATAAACCAAAAAAATGATTTGGACAATTATATTTTTGTTGCCGTATTTTGTCGTTCTAGTTAACGCTGGTAGAGAACTACCAGCGTTGCAAAGTGCTGCAAGCCAGGTAAATATAATTTTTACCATTTGATTTTTTTTTTAATTTAACTAGTAGACAACTAAATTATAATTTTTTTTTTTTAAATATCAAATGGTGAAAAAATTGTAAGCGAAATATTATTTTCTGAAAACAAAATAACCGCTAAAATGAAAAATCATACTTTTTAATTTGCCTTGTGTACTAATTAATTTTTGTCTGTCGCAAAAAAAATTAATATTTTTAAAAACCTGAATACTTGCTCTACAACACCTATGTATTGCTATGTGGGTAAAAATTGGCAAATTTTATTACTACTTTCTTAAAAAAACAAAAAACATGTAAAACATCTGATATTTTTCATTCAAAATTATCATAACTAGTTTGAATAAAAACATTTTTTAAAAAAAGTATTTTTTTTCCTTTGTTTATCTACTAGTTTAATAAAAAAATTAAATTAAAAATTTTTTTTTTAAAAATATCATTTTGTTATATTATAAAAAATTAATTTTACATCTTAATCCCTGTAATAACCAAATTTTATTTGGACTAAGTTTGTTATAAGTCAGTATAACAAGAAATGTTTTATACCCTTAAATTGACCATAGTCTTAGTTAGATCAACTTTGTATATTTGGAAGATTTACTTATTTACTTAAATTTATAGGTATCACAAGCTAAATCTTATGCCCATTATATTTTGTTATTTGCACGAGTTTCTTTATAAGAACCTTATTTAATAATTATTTTCTGATTTAAAGCTCTGTAAAATAGTACATTTCATACATTTCCATAAATTGGGTTCGAAAAATATCAGGAATATTTGAAATGTTGGACAATTATTTTATACAAGGCCAACAGAAATTGTTGTTTGAATATTCTAAGGTATATTTGCAATATACAACAAATATTTTTTACATAGTTATCTAAGTATAAATGTTTTTTTGACAACGATATATTTTATTCGGCTCTAGTTTTCTTAGGAACATGAACGTTTTGTTATTTCACAAACAACATTGCCTTTTGCGTCATATTTTAATAAAGCTGTTTCTATATAGTTTGAATAACATTTGTTAAATATTGTATATTACATTCAATACAATTTTTTCCGACTCATAATAGCTTCGAAATTAAGTTACTCTAAAATGATTTTAAAAAGGAAAACTAAAAACTAAAATTATTTTAGAAAACAAAAGTGCCTTAATGAATCATCTAAATATAACATAAAACATATATTTCATATATTTTTACTAATGATTTGTATACAACCCTCCTACAATAAAACCCACCCACAGACATATTTTTTTTTTTAAAATATCATAGGGTAAAATAATTGTAACGAAATATTATTATATTTTGAAATAAAAAAAACCGCCAAACTATAAAAACTGAACTTTAAATAGCAATAAAAAACGTCCAGATACACACATGGCCTTGAAATTTTATATTATGTTTAAGAAACATATTTAAATTATTCATAATTGTTTTGATATTTTTTGCATATTTATTAATAGGACTTTTGAGCGCCTAGAATTCACTCTCGGGCCACTGTGCGTCCTAACTGTGCCCCGATTTTTTTAAAACTTATTTTACAAACTCAAAATAGAGAAGAGAAAAATATATTTTTGTTACATAGATTCAATTATCAAAAAACTAAAAACGCAACACCTACATAGTAGGTATAGTTTTAGGAGAAGTTTCAGGAACTAAGATGTAAAAAATAGACTGAAGGTAATTTTAGAATGGGGCTATAACATGTTATGCAAATTTCTCAAAAATGACTGCGCGTACTACCGATAGTGAGTTTACATGATAATTTATATTATGTCGTCCCGCTTCCCTCCGCCTATCGGTTAGGTTATTCTATTTTATAATATTCTTCAGTATTTAAAACTGTTCAACTGTTTAATGTCAATATTAATGTGTTTAGAGGAATTATGTAAAACACATGTTTATACTTGCTACACTGCATACATTTGAAATTAAATTCTCAACGTTTTGACGATTTGCAATTATTTTATACTCAGTGTTGTATCCATAAACTATTTTTTCAAATGGCCTACTGAAGATGAGTTCTGGATTGTTATATTCCCCCTACCTACTTTTAAAGTCTTAAACAGTTCATTTTTAAAACTATAACACTAAATAATCTGTAATTTAATATTTTAAATAATTATTTAACTAAAAAGACAAATAATATACTCATTCCGGAAAAACTATGTTGTACTCTGACATAACAGACATAAAATGAATAACAAACCAGTTTTTATTATAAAACGTTAAAATTTGTAATGGTCGGTGTGTCCGGTGGCCGCACATCGCGTATAGTGGACAGTCCTCATATTATATTTATATAATATCAAATAAAGTTAATACGCAACACTTTTTCCCTGCAAACCCTAGAAATACAATTTTTAGTAATGATGTAATAAATACTTTATGAATTTAATGTATAAATAAACTAGTATTGGTTGAATATTTTAGATAAAAATTTATTTGCAACTTATAGTTAACCGCTCATAGTAAAATTACAATTTTATCAAAAAATGTAATTGTTTACATAGTGTATTTCTTGTAACTATAATATGTGTATTGTTACTATGTTTTCAGTAACTATATTTCCATTGTGCCAATTTTCCCTATTGTTTCAACAATATTTTACCAATACGCTATAGCCTTCTTGTAAGCTTATGTTTCCTCCCCCCCCCTCATATTTGATTTAAGTAACTTGATTATTAATTACCACTTCTTTTGTATTTGAAATTAATAAATCGTAGAGTGATCTAGTAGGATGACCTAATAATAGCTGATCAGGCTGTTTCAGGAACTAAGATGTAAAAATAGACTGAAGGTAATTTTAGAATGGGGCTATAACATATTATGCAAATTTCTCAAAAATTCGTATTTAAACTATTAATTTATTAAGGAAAAACAATAAAAGTAGAAAATTGCTGTATAGGTTGAAATTATTTTCATAGTTCTTAAAATTTTAAGTTTTTATATCACTTTTAGTTGTAATAATTCATATTCACCTGTGACCCAACCCCACTGTTCTGGCTTCTTTTTTGTTACATACGAACCAGTAAAGCCATTTGGAAAATAATAAAATTGGCTTTTTTTTTGTTTGTTAAGTACAAAATAAAAATTAGTAGTAAAAATTAATACACTTTAAATTAACACTGAATAATCACATTTAAAAGATATGCCTACATATATTATTTTGAAATTGATACATACTTTACTAAATGTTTAATTACAAAACTATTCGTTTGTTATTGTATTATTAAATAAATTCTGTTATAAATAAGTACTTATCAAGTTAATAGCGTTAAGAAAACATACAGACTGTAAAATATTTTTTATCCGAATACACTGAGTATTTGTTTTTCAAATTCATTACCGTTTCGTTTTTTTTTTAGATTGGAAAACCGAAACCATATACAACACTTGAGAGATGGATAGAAGACTTAAATGTACAGACCATTACAGATTGGACTACTTTGATACATGTACCTGAAGAATATCAAACAGTAATTTTTGTTTACAATACATTATTAAAAAACATGTTTAACCGTTTATATTTTTTTAAGGAAGACGCAGACCGCGCATTGGCTATGAGTAAATGTCCAACTTCAATTATTGATACTCTTCTTAATAATAGTGATTGGCGTAAATGGCCTGATAGTTTAAAAGATACACGTTGTACTGAACCTAACATGGATAAAATAAAACAGTTGAAATGTAAACGTATTCCAGGAGCACCAGTAGTATACGTGGGCCATGCTAATAACAGTTCGGTGCCTTATCCAGGAATTTTATTAATTTTCGAAAAACTTGTATGAATTGTGGATTTTGACTAAAATCGACCCAGCAGAATATAATTTCACCATTCAAAAATCATAAATTTCAAAAAATATATACACTGATAGTGAAAAAATCTAAATTTTTTAAACAATAATTACATTTTAGTCGATTTATAAATGATTTTGTAAACCTAATTTGCTTACATAAAGCATACTACACTCATCTAAAACGTTTAAGTGTCTTTGCTAACCGATATAAAAAAAAATGAATGTATTATATTGATTGAGACATTGATTTAATAAAGCTAAAAAATGTCTTCCTCTATTTTATTTTATTTTATTTTATTCCTCTATTTTATACTCTTCAGAATTTAGAATGTTCTAAATTACATGTTTTTTTTAATGTTGTGATTTATTTGCTCTCGACGTTGTGATCTCAAAAAGTATATGTCAAAAATAATATTTATTTACATAAACACTATACTAATTGGTAAAAAGTGGTTTACTTATGGACATGTGCTAGAAATCTGAGATAAGTAATAACAGATGTTTTGCATTAAACAGAGGCCTTTACGATCGCGTTAGTATGTTTTGATAATGTATGTAAACTATTTTCATCTATTCTAAGCCGTAAGTATTCAATTTTTCGTACATATATTTTTGACATTATAACGGGTTGCTTTTTAATAAGAAACTTATTCATCAATGATTTTCTGACTTGAAGCTCTGTATAATAATATATTTAATATTTTAGATTATTGTGCTCGAAAAATATCACGAATATTTGCAATATTGGAAAATAATTTTATACAAAGTTAACCAAAATTGATTTTTTGGTAACGATATATTTGATCAATAACATAAACGTTCTGTTTTTTTACAAATAACATTGCCTTTTGCTACATAGGTACTTTAATAAATCTGATTCTATATAATTTAAATAACATAAAATGGTTTCCAAAACAATTAATTGCAAATGTTTTTAAAAACAAAAGTCCTACTTAAACTTTGGGATAATATAGGGACACGATAAATTTCTTATTGGAAGAATTAAAAAAATAATTCGCCCAAGTCCCAAATAAATGTTAAGGCAAAAAACTTTTTATTCAGTTATTTTATAAAAAATTAATTTTACACCTTAATCCCTGTAATAACCAAATTTTATTTGGACTAAGTTTGTAATAAGTCAGTATAACAAGAAATGTTTTATACCCTTAAATTGACCATAGTCTTAGTTGGATCAACTTTGTATATTTGGAAGATTGACTTATTTACTTAAAGTGATAGGTATCACAAGCTAAATCTTATGCCCATTATATTTTGTTATTTGCACAGGTTTCTTTATAAGAATCTTATACAATAATTATTTTCTGATTTAAAGTTCTGTAAAATAGTATTTTATGATAAATACATTTCCATAAATTGGGTTCGAAAAATATCAGGAATATTTGAAATATTGGACAAATTCTTTTGTACAAGGCCAACAAAAATTGTTGTTTGAATATTCTAAGGTATATTTGAAATATACAACAAATATTTTTTACATAGTTACCTAAGTATAAATGTTTTTTTGCCAACGATATATTTTATTCGGCTAAAAATCAATAAAAATATCAATACGTGAATATTTACCATTCATGGTTAAATTAAAACAATCTCTAAATAAATATGGTTGTTTACCAATATATAAATTATATATTATAGCTGTGAAGTAGTAAGTCATTGTAATTGGGTATTACTGAAAAATGAATTAAAACAGTCAAATAATATAGGTATTTGATGCATTGAGATAAATTGTTTATATTAAGGGTTGAATGACAAATTGAGAATAATGTACTAAAAACTTGGACCGGTCGATAACCAGTTTCGGATTACTATTTTCGAAGTTAAAACAAATTTAAATTTATTATTAAACCCTATAAGATATTGAGTGGCTCATGATAAAAAAATCACCCTGTATAAAAAACATTACATTTTTAACATGATACTAGAACAGTGAAAGGGAACCTAATAAGATTTACATTAATAAGTGTATCAATGTAGAATCGCTGGTCAACCAAAGTATCACAAAACATTTTATTGTGTTTGGTTATCTGTGTACTCATCTATCGGACAATGCGATCATAAATACGTATTTTATTGGCTCCCGGTCTTTGGAAAATCAAAGAAATATAACAATACTTAAGAGAAAATGTAATATCTTTACAAAGTCATAGCTAACGACTAGATGGATAAAAATTAATAATTCAAACGATAACATATTTTAAAATTTTTTGCCTACAAATTTATGGAATTAATAACATATGTTGCCATTTGAAAACGTGAACGCTTTTTATTGTATAAGGGATGAAAATAAAAATGTTCAAAGCATTGAAAAATGTAGTAAAACTTAAAAGAATAGAAAAAAATGTTTTTTCAAAATATTCATATTTTCCGAGAAAATGAGTGTCTTAAGTTAGTTGGACCACCCTGTATATTTAACATTTTGATAAATTGGGTTCGAAAAATATCAAGAATATTTGAAATATACAACAAGTATTTTTAAAAAGCTACCTAAGTATAAATGTTTTTTTGTCAACGATTTATTTTATCCGGCTCTAGTGTTTTTTAGAGACATGAACGTTTTGTTATTTCATTAACAACATTGCCTTTTGCGTCATACTTTAATAAAGCTGTTTCTATATAGTCTGAATAACATTTGTTAAATATTATATATTACATTCAATACAATTTTTTCCGACTCATAATAGCTTCGAAATAAGTTACTCTAAAATGATTTTAAAAAGGAAAACTAAAAACTAAAATTATTTTAGGAAACAAAAGTGCCTTAATGAATCATCTAAATATAACATAAAACATATATTTGATATATTTTTACTAATGATTTGTATACCCTCCTACAATAAAACCCACCCACAGACACGGTGCTGGTAAATACAGGGTGTGTACACATAAATCAAGTGATAAACATATTAAAATCGCTTGTTTAATAATAGGTTTGACCGTTTTTTTATTTTATATATAAACATTGATTTATCGCATTAACCCGTCCGCTTCAAACGTTAGCGTTAAGGTTAATTCGATTTTATAGCATACCAATCTCATAAAACCGTCAGATGAGGTAACCGTAAAAAAGGGGCAAAATTGAATGGATGTGTCATGACATATTTGGAAAAAATATCAATACGTGAATATTTACCTTTCACGGTTAAATTAAAACAATCTGAAAATAAATATGGTTGTTTACCAACATATAAATTATATATTATAGCTGTGAAATAGTAAGTTGACGCGGTCGTACTGTGGACACAACTCACGGGTTGGGGTTAAGTAAATAAGTTCAACATACCACTAATAGTACGCCCAGTGCGCGGCGTCCTATTAGTAATATGTATCACGGACCGTGTCAAAGTTTAGTTTTTGTAATTAGGTAATACTGAAAAATGAATTAAAACAGTCAAATAATATAGGTATTTGATGCATTGAGATAAATTGTCCATATTAAGGGTTGAATGACAATTTGAGAATAATGTACTAAAAACGTTGACCGGTCGATAACCAGTTTCGGATAACTATTTTTGAAGTTTAAACAATATGAATAACCAAATTTAAATTTCTTACTAAACCCTATGAGATCAATATAACAGATGTTATTAGAATGGCTGGCTACAATAAAATAAACATAAACGCTGTTATAAATACCTAAAACTTACCAATTTTCAGTGCTGTTTCTGATTTTTATTTCCATAGTTGTTTCTTAGTATTACAGGTATTTCATAGTAGATAAACGAAAAAATGATTTGGAAAATTATATTTTTGCTGTCGTGTTTTAACGTTTTAGTAAGCGCTAGTCCACCTTTACAAACTCCAAGTTCTTCAAGACAGGTAAATATAACCGAGTAATGTCTTTTAATTCTTTTTTTTAGTAGGTACAAAAAATAGTTAAAGTTTTTCATAACTCCATAAACATTTTTGCATTTTTAGAGTAAACAAATTAAGTAATCAAACTATTGTTATTATCTCAACAATTTTTAAATGTAATCACATTTTAGGCGTAAATCTACTTTATTGGATACCATTTTTTTTAAATCAATTGAACAAAATGATAACTCTACATAGCTTGTAAAATCAATTATAACACTATTTTGGGATTTCTCTGCGGTTAATGTGACATTATTTGAAATAAATTCATTTCGACTAAATACAAGAGATTAATATTGCAGAACAATTTGATGAACGTTGTGACTCATCTATAACTATTAAATAATTAATAATTAATTTTAAAGTCACTTGTAGTTTAAAATTTAAGACTGCAAGTGGGCTGCGGTTAAGTAGTTATTTAATGTAGATAAAAAAGATAGTGCACTCCCCACCTCCCGGTTTAAATTTTAAACTTGGTTGCAACCTCCCCGTCCCCACTGTGCCCCGACTTTTTTTAAACTTATTTTACTTTAAACTTATCCTTATAGTTCTTAAAATAATTAATTATTTTGTCACTTTTCTGTTGTAATAATTCTTTTTCACCTCTGACCCAACCCCACTGTTCTGGCTTCTTTTTTGTTACATACGAACGATTATAGCCATATGGAAAAAAATGTATTTGGTTTTTTTTTTGCTTTTAAGTACGTAATACAGATAAGTAAGTAATAAATTAACACCTACATTTTAAAGATATACCTACACATATTATTTTAAAATTGATATTTTACAAAATGTGTTATATGCATAACCTTCTACACCCTTCACACAAACACACAACTACACATAAGCACATTTATTACTCATATTATAATGATGTCACTCTGATAAATATAAAACAACCGCACATCTATTATAATTGTGAAATGTGAATCATGGTCAGTAATTAAAACACACCAGTACAATTGTCTAGCACAATGATTGGATGGAATTGTAAATGTATGTTTCATATACAGAAGCTACTCGGTTTCCGATCCGCTCAATTAAACTATATGGGAAAAATATGTTATTACCATTTTATCGCAAATTAACACTAATTAAAATAATCAACCGATGTGCGTCCGCTGTGGCGTCCGCCCATCAATAAGCTAAAGCCTACACAAATTCCCACAATAACACATTACACAAATTATCATGTCCATATAAATAGGAGTGGGGTCCATTTCTAAACCAGATGAATTACCAGACTCAACTAGTATACTACTCTGTGACAGATTGTCCATTTTTTATGTTTTACAAGTGTTAATAAAAATCAAACTTATATTTAAAAAGTCTTTAATTATTTAAAAAAACATCTTCCTGAATTGGTTTCGACGACGAACAACAAATAAATTTCTTAATAGTTCTGGTACCAGTAATCAGAACTATACAAATGTTTAATTGCAAAACTATACGTTTATTATTGTTATAATAAATAAATTTTGTTATAATTAGGTACTTATCAAATTATTAGCGTTAAGAGAACATGCAGACTGTAAAAAATTGTTTATCCGTCTACACTTAGTCAATAATTGTTTTCCAAATTAATTACCGTTTAATTTTTTTTTACAGATACCATTTGCATCATTAGATGATTGGGCAGAAAATTTAGAAGTAATTACTATTACAAATTGGACTACTTTGCAACATGAACTCGATGATAATCAAAAAGTAATTTTTGTATAAAATGCATCAATTAAAGACATGTCTGACCGTTTTTATTTTTTAAGAATGCCGCAGTTGAGGCATTGAAAAACAGTTATTGTCCAATTCTTATTGAGGATGATATTGTTAAGAACAGTGATTTAAGTAAATGGCCTGCTCGTTTAAAAAATACAGCTGGAACTGGCCCTAACATAGATAATATAAGAACCTTGACATGTAGACGTATTCCAGGAGCACCAATACTATACGTGGGCTATTCTGACACATCTAACCATTCGGTGAATTATCCAGGAATGTTATTCATTTTCGATAGCCTTGTATTCGATATACTGGTCCACCAGAATTTTATTTCGGAAAACATGGAAGGAATCGAGGATTCTAATTAAAATCGGCCCAGCAGAATTTAATTTCACCATTCTGGTAGTGAAAAAATCTAAATACTTTAAACAATAATTAAACATTAGTTGATTTATAAATAATTTGTAAACCTAATTTGTTTACATACCGATTGTATAAAGCATACTACTCTTATCTAAAACGTTTAAGTGTCTTTGCTAACCGAAATAAATAAAATTAATGTATTATATTTATCTAGACATTTATTAAATAAAGCTATACAATTTCTTCCTCTATTTTATTTATTCCTCTATTTTATACTCTTCAGTATTCAGAATGTTCTAAATTTCTTGTTTTTTATAATGTTGTGATTTATTTGCTGTCATCGTTGTGATCTCAAAAAGTATATGTCAAAAATAATATTTATTTACATAAACACTATACTATTGGTAAAATGTGGTTTACTTATAGACATGTGCTAGAAGTCTGAGATAAGTAATGAAAGATGTTTTACGTTAAACACAAATATTAAAAAATATATAGGTAATATATTCATATAAATTGTATCTTAACGAATGAATAAGTGCATGTTTTATTTAAATGTTTAATTAATGAGGTTAAGCATTTCTTAAAAAGTCTTTTTATAATTTTAACGCTTGATTCAACACTGCCATTCGAGTCCGGATGGAATGGTTCAACTGTTTATTGTCAATGTTATTGTGTTTAGAGCAATTTTGTAAAACACATGTTTATACTTTCTACACTGCATAAATTTGAATTTTTTTTCTCAAAGACTTGACGATTTGCAGTTATCTAATACTCAATGTTGTGTTCATAAACTATTTTTATAGATGGGCCACTGAAGATAAGTTTTGAATTGTTATATATCCCCGACTTTCTTTTAAAGTTTTAAAAAGTTTGGTTTTTAAAATTATAATACTAAATAATGTATTTTCAAATTTTGATTGGTCGATAATCAGTTTTGAATAACTCTTTTTGAAGGTATTGAAGCTTCAAGTTTAGGGCAGAAGATAAGGTGGAGTGTAATTAATTTTATCTGCGCACATTTCCCAACCGCATTCTCTTCCTATCCTAACTTTAAAACTTTTACAAGTTTAAAAACACTAATCCAAAACTGGTTATCGACCAGTCAAAGTTTTTAGTACATTATTCTCAATATAAAAAGTTAATAAAATACATACGTTACCATTTAATTTTCAAAAGTTGCTATCGAAAAAACTAAGTTGGTAGGGAGAAAAAAAACTGTGAAAAATTAAGATCACATTGTAAAACAACAATATAAAAAAAAAATTATAATTTCTTATTAAACCCTATGAGATTTAGAGTGATTCATGATAAAAGAATCACCCTGAATGCCTTGTCAAAATTTGGTGACCAATTCATTGCGTAATAGAGAATAATACAATGGTTTTAATATGTCTGCTAACATTGGAACGAATTTAATGTAATAAGTTACTAAGGCCAAAAAATACTTAAACATTATTTTATTTCCTGATACAGAGGCCTTTACGATTGCGTTAGTATGTTTTGATAACATATATAAACCTTTTTCATCTATTCTAAGCCGTAAGTATTCGATTTTGTGTCCATATATTTTTTTACATTATAACGGGTTGTTTTTTAATAAGAAACTTATTCATCAATAGTTTTCTGACTTCTAGCTCTATATAATAATATATTTAATATTTTGGATTATTGTGTTCGAAAAATATTAGGAATATTTGCAATATTGGAAAAAAATTGTATACAACGTTAACCAAAATTGATTTTTTGCCAACGATATACTTTATCAAAAACATGAACGTTCTGTTTTTTTACAAAAAACATTAACAACGTTAAGGCAAAAAAAATGTATTTTACTCCATAATATCTGTAATAACAAAATTTAGGTTGGACCAAGTTTTTATTAAGTCAGTACAACAACAAAAAGTTTTATACCCTTAAATTTACCATATGCTTAGTTAGACCAACTTTGTATGTTTGGAAGATTTACTTATTTACTTAAATTTATAGGTATAGCAAGGTACATCCTGTGCCGATTTAATTTTGTTATTTGCACGGGTATCTTTATAAGAACCTTATTTATCAATGATTTTCTGACTTGAGCCTCTGTATAATAATATTTTAACATTTTGTAAACAATTTTATTTAGGTATTTCATCTATAATAGTATTGTGCCTTATAATTTTGGATTAGCCAATAGTTAGGCTAAAAAAAATCAATGCATATCCACGTTACACACGGATACATCAGCACATGTAAATTACTTATGTGATGGAAAAATGTTTAGGATTTCAATGTTATTCGGGATGATCTTAAAAATACGTTCTTGAACATTATTATTATACAATATACACGGTTTGAAAAAAAAAGATGTGTACTAGTAACATAATATCTGTTGCCTATTGTTTGTTTTCAAACCGTTATATTCGTATTTAGGTCACCTTCATTTGTTTTAGTATTACATGAAAACATGTGATTATTTGAACAATACACATGAAAAATATTTGTTTGCTTATTTACTACAGTTTAGATCTAAGATAAAATATGTAAATAATTGGCCCAACTAAATGTTAACAGGAACAACTTTTTATTTAATTACTTCAACTACAAATCCATTATACCCCTAATTCTCGTAATAACTAAATTTTAGTTGGACCAAGTTTTTGTTAAGTCAGTATAACTAGAAGTGTATTATACCCTTAAATTGACCATAGTTTTAGTTGGGCCAACTTTGTATTTTTGAAAAAGTTACTTAAATTTTTAGGTAACACAAGGTACAACGGGTTTCTTTATAACAAACTTATTCATTAATTTTTTTCTGATTTAAACCTCTGTAAAATAACATATTTAACATTTTGATAAATTGGGTTCGAAAAATATCAGGAGTATTTGAAATATACAAGTATTTTTTAAAAAGCCACCTAAGTATAAATATTTTTTGCCAACGATATATTTTATCCGGCTCTAGTTTTCTTAGGAACATGAACGTTTTGTTATTTCACAAACAACATTGCCTTTTGCGTCATACTGTTTCTATATAGTTTGAATAACATTTGTTAAATATTGTATATTACATTCAATAAAATTGTTGTCGACTCATAAAAGCTTCGAAATTAAGTTACTCTAAAAATGATTTTCAAAAGGAAAACTAAAAACTAAAATTTTTTTAGGAAACAAAAGTGCCTTGATGAATCATCAAAATATAACATAAAACATATATTTGATATATTTTTACTAATGATTTGTATACCACTCTCCTACAATGAAACCCACCCACAGACACGGTGCTTGTAAATAAAGGGTGTTTACACATAAATCAAGTGATGAACATATTACATCGCTTGTTTAATAATAGGTTTGACCGTTTTTTTATTTCATATATAAACATTGATATTCGCATTAACCCGCCCGCTTCAAACGTTTGCGTTTAAGTTAATTCGGTTTCAACCGTAAAAAAGGGGCAAAATTTTTTGGTTATGTCATGATATATTTGAAAAAAATATCAATACGTGAATATTTACCATTCATGGTTAAATTAAAACAATCTGAAAATAAATATGGTTGTTTACCAACATATAAATTATATATTATAGCTGTGAAGTAGTAAGTCATTGGTTTTTGTAATTGGGTAATACTTAAAAATGAATGAAAACAGTAAAATAATATAGGTATTTGATGCATTGAGATAAATTGTTCATATTAAGGGTTGAATGACAAATTGAGAATAATGTACTAAAAACTTTGACTGGTCGCAATTTGGTGACCAGTTCCATTTAACATCAAATTATATAGTTTGAATAACATTTGTTATATTATATTTTACATTATATCAATTTAAATGTTATTTGACCCATAATAGTTCCCAAAATAATTAATTGTAAATGTTTTTAAAAACAATAATCCAACTTAATTATTGGGATAATATAGTAACACGATAAATTTCTAATTGGAAAGCTATCACGCTTGTTTTGTTATTGGGCCAAATTTGGTAGCCATATCTTGTCCATTCAGAACCCTGTTCTAGTGTCATTTTACCCCATTGTTTCTATAATGTTTTTTCTTATAAGCTTACAAAAGGGTGGTAGAACCCTTTTGTAAGCTAAGTTTCTCTTGCACCAGTTTTTGCTTTGAGCAATTTGATTAATAATTACCACTTCTTTTTTTATTTGGAATTAATAAATGGAAAATGGGTCTAGTAGGATGACCTAATAATAGCTGATCAGGCGATTCATGTGTGGTCTTATTTAGAGTGTTTCGATACAAAATCAAACATTTATAGGTCTTTCGGAAATAACCGCATAAATATAAATAGATATGCGTTAAAACCGCGCCAAGTTCATACGAAGATGGATGGACTATGTTCAACTAGTAATTTTTGGCCAAAATGTCCTAAAATACGGTTTAAACTGGAAGTCTTTTAGTTTGACCAACTTTGTATTTTTGAAAGAGTTAGTTATTTACTAAGATTTATAGCTAACACAAGGTACATCTTGTGCCCAATATATTTTGTTATTTGAACGGGTTTCTTTATAAGAAACTTATTCATCAATTATTTTCTGATTTAAAGCTCTGTAAAATAATATATTTAATTTATTTGGTTCGAAAAATATCAGGAATATTTGAAATATTGGACAATATTGGAATTCTTTTGTACAAAGCCAACAAAAATTGTTTTTTGGATATTCTAAGGTATATTTAAAATATACAACAAATATTTTTTACATACCTACCTAAGAATAAATGTTTTTTTGCCAACGATATATTTTATCCGGCTCTAGTGGGTTTTAGAAACATGAACGTTCTGTTATTTCACAAACAACATTGCCTATTGCGTCATACTTTAATAAAGCTGTTTCTATAGAGTTTGAATAACATTTATTAATATTGTATATTACATTCATTAACATTTTTTTCGACTCATAATAATTTCAAAATTAAGTTACTCTAAATAATTTTAATATATCAATTATATATTATAGCTGTGAAGTAGTAAATTATTCGAATTTATAATTGAGTAATACTGAAAAATGAATGAAAACAGTCAAATAATATAGGTATTTGATGCATTGAGATAAATTGTTCATATTAAGGGTTGAATGACAAATTGAGAATATTGTACTAAAATCTTTGACTGGTCGATAATCAGTTTCGGATAACTATTTTTGAAGTTTAAGCAATATGAAAAAACAAATTAAAATTTATTATTAAACCCTATAAGATATTGAGTGGCTCATGATAAAAAAATCACCCTGTATAAAAAACATTATATTTTTAACATGAAACTAGAACAGTGATAGGGAACCTAATAACATTTACATTGATAAGTGGTCTGTCAGGTGGCACTTTTTTACCAGTTGCATTTATAGTCCTAAAGCTACTTTGTGTGCTTAAATTTATAAACATCTATTACTGACATAAAATACGTATGTGTTCAGTACACCCTTATAAGAAATAACTTTAGCTTGATACTTTTAATTTTAATCATTTATATGATACATCCAATACCATTGTAAATATTCCAATTTTACTTGTAACACTCGACATATAATACTCATTTAGTCAATAGATAGATTATGTTTGTATCCTTCTGAAAAACAATGTTAACAGATGTTATAAAAATGGCTGGCTACAGTAAAATAAACATGAATACTGTTATAAATACATAAACCTAACCAATTTTCAGTGCTGTTCCTAATTTTTTTTTCTCTAGTTGTTTCTTAGTATTACAAGTATTTCACAGAAGATTAACGAAAAAATGATTTGGAAAATTATATTTTTGTTGTCGTGTTTTGACGTTTTAGTGAACGCTGGTCAACCTTCACCATTTTTTGAAGAACCTCCAAGCCGGGTAAACATAATCGACTAATGTTTTTTAATTCTTTTTTTTTGTTATAAAACATATACTTTATGTTTTTCTTAACTCCACAAAATGTTTTGCGTTCTTAGAATAAGAAATTTAAGTAATTTTATCATACTATACAAATTATCTCAAACCTTTTTAAATGTAATAACATTTTAGGTGTAAATCTACTTCATTTCTTACTGATTTCGGGGCTGCAAAAATGAAGAATTGCGTGTACTACCTATTGTGAGGCTAACCTAACCTAACGGCCCATCGTTTAGGTTTTTTTTCTACCTAGTTTAATAGTCTATACTCATAACAATATGTATAGTTTTCCAAAATGACCACTCCACATAGCTAAAAAAATCAATTATAACACTATTTTGGGATTTCTCTGAGGGTAATGTTACATTATTTGAAATTAATTCATATCGACTAAGTATACAAGAGATTAATTTTGCAGAATAATTTGCTGAACGTTATGACTCATCGATATCCATTTTTAAATAATTAATTTTAAAGTCGTTGTAGTTTAAAATTTAAGACTGCCAGTGAGGTGCAGTTAAGTAGGTATTTAATGCAGATAAAAACGATACTGCGCTCCCCACCTTCCGTTTTAAATTTCAAACTTGGATGCAACCTCTCCGTCCCCGCTGTGCCCTGATTTTTTTAAAAACTTATTTTACAAACTCAAAATAGATAAGAGAAAAATGTATTTGTGTTACATAAATTAAATTATCAAAAAACTGAAAACGTTACACCTGCATCGTAGGTAATGTTTTAGGAGAAATTTTAGGAATTAAGGTGTAAAAATTAGACTGCTGGTAAGGCAGGTAATTTTAGAATAGGGCTATAACATATTATACAAATTTCACAAAAATGCTTATTGAAACTATTGATTTATTAAGCAAAAACCATAAAAATAGAATATTGCTCTTTACTTTGAGATTATTCTCATAGTTCTTAACACTTTAAGTTTTTAAAGTTACAAATTAGTAAGTAATAAATTAATATATTTTTTTTTTTATTAGAAAAAAATAATCTGTACAAAATACGTTTACAATAAGTTTTTTTTTTTACATTTTATATTACATAGCATTAATAACGTTAAAGAAAGTCACCCAGTGGTAACACCTCACTAGTCTTATTATAGAAATTAATACCTACATTTAATGCTGAATCACATTTTAAAGATATGCCTACATAGATTATTTTAAAATTGATACATACTTAACTTTACTAAATGTTTAATTGCAAAACTATTCGCAATTATTGTTATAATAAATAATTTCTGTTATAAATAAGTACTTATTAAGTTATAAGCGTCAAGAGATCATGCAGAATTTAAAATATTTTTTATCCGTCCACATTTAGTCAGTATCTGTTTTTCAAATTAATTATTGTTTTATCTGTTTTTAGACCGTAGCAACGGTACCATTTCGAACATTACAAGAATGGGCACCAACCTTACAATTAACGCACATTACAAATTGGACTACTTTGCAACATGAACCTGATAATGATCAAAAAGTAATTTTTGCATAAAATATATTAATTAAAAACATGTCTGACCGTTTTTATTTTATAAGGATGCCGCAGAGTTCGCATTGAAATCGAGTAAATGTCCAACTAATATTATAGATATGCTTGTTTGGAGAAGTCAGATAAATCAATGGCCTGATCATTTAAAAAATACAGCTGGAACTGGCCCTAACATAGATAATATAAGAACCTTGACATGTAGACGTATTCCAGGAGCACCAATAGTATACGTGGGCTATCCTGACACATCTAACGATGTGGTGCCTCTGCCAGGAATTTTATTAATTTTGGAAAACATTATATGAATTGTGGATTCTAATTAAAATCGACCCAGCAAAATATAATAACACCATTCAAAAAATCATAAATTTAAAAAAATATATATACTGATAGTGAAAAAATCTAAATATTTTAAACAATAATTACATTTTAGTTGATTTATAAATGATTTTGTAAACATAATTTGCCTAAATACCTATTACATAAAGCATAGTACGCTTATCTAAAGTGTTTAAGTGTCTTTGCTAACCGAATTAAATAAAATGAATGTATTGTATTGATTGAAACATTGATTTAATAAAGCTATAAAATTCCTTCCTCTATTTTATTTTATTTTATTTTATTCCTCTATTTTATACTCTTCAGTATTTAGGATGTTCTAAATTACTTGTTTTTTTTTATAATGTGACAATTTATTCGCTCTCATCGTTGAGATCTCAAAAAGTATATGTCAAAAATAATATTTATTTACACAAACCCTATACTAATTTGTAAAAAGCGGTTTACTTATTGACATGTGCTAGAAGTCAGAGATAAGTGATGACGGATGTATTTTTTTAAATACAAATATTAAAAAATATAAGGGTAATATAATCATATAAATTGTATTTAAATGAATGCATAAATACATGCTTATATCAATAGTATTGTATTTAGAGGAATTTTGCAAAACATATGTTTATACTTGCTACACTGCATACATTTGAAAGGGTTTTCTCAAAGTTCTGACGATTTGCTGTTATTTTATACTCAATGTTGTGTCCATAAGCTATTTTTATAGATGGGCCACTGAAGATAGGTACTTGATTATTTTATTCCCTCGACCTTTTTTTAAAGTTTTAAACAGTTTCATTTTTAAAATTATGACGCTAAATAACCTATTTTAATATTTTACTTAATTATTTAATTAAACAACAAATAATTTCCTCTTTCTACAAAAACTTTGTTATTACTCTGATATAACAGATAACACAAAACATAAAATGAATAACAAAATAGTGTTTATTATAAAACGTCACAATTAATTTGGTCGATGTGTCGGCGACCGCACGTCACGTATAGTAGACCTTTTCCTTATGAAAATCTTGACATACAATTTTTATAAATGATTATAAATACTCAATGAATAGAATATATACAAATAAACTAGTATTGTTTGAATATTTTAGATAAGGATGATTATGAAACTTATAGTTAACCGGTCATAGCGAAATTACTAATTTGTTGAAAAAAGTAAATGTTTACATAGTGTGTTTTTATTGTTTGAAGTAACAAGGAGAGAAACGCTGAATCGGTTTTTTGTCCTTACAGGTCTGTAGTAGTAGGCTGGACCAAGTTTTTATTAAGTCAGTACAACAATAAATGTTTTATACCCTTAAATTTACCATAGTCTTAATTGAACCAACTTTGTATATTTGGAAGATTTCCTTTTTACTTTAAGTTATAGATATCGCAAGGTACACCTTTTGTCCATTATATTTTGTTATTTGCACGGGTTTCTTTATAAGAATATTGTTCATCAATGATTTTCTGACTTGAGGCTTTGTATAATTTTATTTTAACATTTCGATTTATTTGGTTCAAAAAATATCAGAATTATTTGAAATATTGGACAATTATTTTATACAAAGCAAACAAGAATTGTTTTTTGCTAGCAAAGTATTTTATCCGGCACTGCTGTTTTTTTGAAACATGAACGTGCTGTTATTTTACAAGAAACATTGTCTTTTGCGTCATACTTTAATACACCTGTTTCTATATAGTTTGAATAACATTTGTTAAATAATGTACATTATATCAATTTAAATGTTATTCGACACATAATGGTTTCCAAAATTATTAATTGTAAATGTTTTTAAAAACATTGATCATCTTAAAATATGGGAAAATATAGAGACACGATAAATTTCTAGTTGGCAGATCTAAATAAATAATTGACCCAAGCCCCAACTAAATGTTATGGCGAAAATCTTTTTATTTAATTATTTTATATATTTTTCATTTTACCCCTTAATCCCTGTAATAACCAAATTTTGGTTCGTTCATGTTTTTATGAGGTCAGTACAACAAGAAAGGTTATATACCCTTCAATTGACCATACTCTTAGTTGGATCAACTTTGTATAACTGGAAAATTCACTTATTTTCATACATTTTTAGATATTACAAGCTAGTGCCAATTTTCCACATTGTTTCTATAATGTTTTCAGCTCCGATGCAGAGCTGCGAAAGTATTGGTTCTCTTCTGATGTGGGCTTTTTTTTTATCTGTATACACTGTAACTTTTTAAATACTGGACCAATTCCTTCGAGTAGCAACTTTATAAATCACATATTTTATCTAGTTGGTACTTGGGGGGGGGGGGGGAAGTTATAAAAGTTTTTTTCTTCACAGTTAAAACTTGATAAAAACAATAAAAATACCATACGAGTTTTTAAGTTAAAACTATTACTGGCTATAATTTCGAGAGAAAGAGTCGGATCAAGTTGAAATTTATAAAGAATATTAACTTGGTATGCCCGCACACGTCAGTTGTATCAAATTTAAATTATACCCATTTCCCACGTCCTTGGGTGGTACAAGTTTTTTTTTTTTTTAGTTTTTTCGCCGTAATTTTAAGACCTTCAAGTTGAAATGTTATCAGTAGTTAGAACTCATATGTATCCATAACATGTTAAACGGAAAAAAATTCGGCACTACAGTTTTTTTTAATTGCCGGAAAACTGCGTTTTCGCAGATTGCGTATATTTTAACAAAAAAACCCAAAATCTTAAAAAAAATTTATCAAATAAATACAACAATTCTATGCAAAATGATTCTATTAAGTTTTAATAATCAAGTACCACTTTTAGCTTTTACTTTTACTTTTTTTTTTTTTTTTTTTTACTTAAGTTTTTTTTTGGCTGAGTTAAAGTGAAAACTGATATTAAATTCGTAATCACCTCCCCAAAAACATATATTTTGACTATTATTTTACCCCTTAATCCATGTAATAGCCAACATTTAGTTGGCCCAAGTTTGTGTGTTTGGAAGATTTACTTATTTACTTAAAAGTATAGGTATCACAAGGTACATCTTGCGTCCATTTTATTTTGTTATTTGCACGGGTATCTTTATAAGAACCTTATTTATCAATGATTTTCTGGCTTGAGGCTCTGTATAATAATATTTTAACATTTTTAAATAAGTACAAAAAATTGTACTTAGGTATCTCATCTATAATAGTATTGTGCCTTATAATTCTGGATTAGCCAATAGTTAGGCTAAAAAAAATCAATGCATATCCACGTTACACACGGATACATCGGCACATGTAAATTACTTGTGTGATGGAAAAATGTTCAGAATTTTAAGGTTATTGGGGATGATCTTAAAAATTCGTTCATGAACATTATTATTATACAATATACACGGTATGAAAAAAAAAGATGTGTATTAGTATCCTAATATCTGTTGCCTATTGTTTGTTTCCAAACCGTTATATTCGTATTTAGGTCACCTTCATTTGTTTTAGTTTTACATGAAAACATGTAATTATTTGAACAATACACATGAAAAATATTTTTTTGCTTATTTACTACAGTTTAGATCTAAGATAAAATATGTACATAATTGGCCCAACTAAATGTTAACAGGAACAACTTTTTATTTAATTACTTCAACTACAAATCCATTATACCCCTAATTCTTGTAATAACTAAATTTTAGTTGGACCAAGTTTTTGTTAAGTCAGTACACCTAGAAGTTTATTATACCCTTAAATTGACCATAGTTTTAGTTGGGCCAACATTGTGTTTTTGAAAGAGTTAGTTATTTACTAAGATTTATAGCTAACACAAGGTACATCTTGTGCCTAATATATTTTGTTATTTGAACGGGTTTCTTTATAAGAAACTTATTCATCAATTATTTTCTGATTTATAGCTCTGTAAAATAATATATTTAATTTATTTGGTTCGAAAAATATCAGGAATATTTGAAATATTGGACAATATTGGAATTCTTTTGTACAAAGCCAACAAAAATTGTTGTTTGAATATTCTAAGGTATATTTAAAATATACAACAAATATTTTTTACATACCTACCTAAGAATAAATGTTTTTTTGCCAACGATATATTTTATCCGGCTCTAGTGGGTTTTAGAAACTTGAACGTTCTGTTATTTCACAAACAACATTGCCTATTGCGTCATACTTTAATAAAGCTGTTTCTATAGAGTTTGAATAACATTTATTAATATTGTATATTACATTCATTAACATTTTTTTCGACTCATAATAATTTCAAAATTAAGTTACTCTAAATAATTTTAATATATCAATTATATATTATAGCTGTGAAGTAGTAAATTATTCGAATTTATAATTGAGTAATACTGAAAAATGAATGAAAACAGTAAAATAATATAGGTATTTGATGCATTGAGATAAATTGTTCATATTAAGGGTTGAATGACAAATTGAGAATAATGTACTAAAAACTTTGACTGGTCGATAATCAGTTTCGGATAACTATTTTTGAAGTTTAAGCAATATGAAAAAACAAATTTAAATTTATTTTTAAACCCTATAAGATATTTAGTGGCTCATGATAAAAAAATCACCCTGTATAAATAACATTATATTTTTAACATGAAACTAGAACAGTGATAGGGAACCTAATAACATTTACATTGATAAGTGGTCTGTCAGGTGGCACTTTTTTACCAGTTGCATTTATAGTCCTAAAGCTACTTTGTGTGCTTAAATTTATAAACATCTATTACTGACATAAAATACGTATGTGTTCAGTACACCCTTATAAGAAATAACTTTAGCTTGATACTTTTAATTTTAATCATTTATATGATACATCCAATACCATTGTAAATATTCCAATTTTACTTGTAACACTCGACATATAATACTCATTTAGTCAATAGATAGATTATGTTTGTATCCTTCTGAAAAACAATGTTAACAGATGTTATAAAAATGGCTGGCTACAGTAAAATAAACATAAATACTGTTATAAATACATAAACCTAACCAATTTTCAGTGCTGTTCCTAATTTTTTTTTCTCTAGTTGTTTCTTAGTATTACAAGTATTTCACAGAAGATTAACGAAAAAATGATTTGGAAAATTATATTTTTGTTGTCGTGTTTTGACGTTTTAGTGAACGCTGGTCAACCTTCACCATTTTTTGATGAACCTCCAAGCCGGGTAAACATAATCGACTAATGTTTTTTAATTCTTTTTTTTTGTTGTAAAACATATACTTTATGTTTTTCTTAACTCCACAAAATGTTTTGCGTTCTTAGAATAAGAAATTTAAGTAATTTTATCATACTATACAAATTATCTCAAACCTTTTTAAATGTAATAACATTTTGGGTGTAAATCTACTTCATTTCTTACTGATTTCGGGGCTGCAAAAATGAAGAATTGCGTGTACTACCTATTGTGAGGCTAACCTAACCTAACGGCCCATCGTGTAGGTTTTTTTTCTACCTAGTTTAATAGTCTATACTCATAACAATATGTATAGTTTTCCAAAATGACCACTCCACATAGCTAAAAAAATCAATTATAACACTATTTTGGGATTTCTCTGAGGGTAATGTTGAATTATTTGAAATAAATTCATATCGACTAAGTATACAAGAGATTAATTTTGCAGAATAATTTGCTGAACGTTATGACTCATCGATATCCATTTTTAAATAATTAATTTTAAAGTCGTTGTAGTTTAAAATTTAAGACTGCCAGTGAGGTGCAGTTAAGTAGGTATTTAATGCAGATAAAAACGATACTGCGCTCCCCACCTTCCGTTTTAAATTTCAAACTTGGATGCAACCTCTCCGTCCCCGCTGTGCCCTGATTTTTTTAAAAACTTATTTTACAAACTCAAAATAGATAAGAGAAAAATGTATTTGTGTTACATAGATTAAATTATCAAAAAACTGAAAACGTTACACCTGCATCGTAGGTAATGTTTTAGGAGAAATTTTAGGAATTAAGGTGTAAAAATTAGACTGCTGGTAAGGCAGGTAATTTTAGAATAGGGCTATAACATATTATACAAATTTCACAAAAATGCTTATTGAAACTATTGATTTATTAAGCAAAAACCATAAAAATAGAATATTGCTCTTTACTTTGAGATTATTCTCATAGTTCTTAACACAAGTTTTTAAAGTTACAAATTAGTAAGTAATAAATTAATATATTTTTTTTTTTTATTAGAAAAAAATAATCTGTACAAAATACGTTTACAATAAGTTTTTTTTTTTACATTTTATATTACATAGCATTAATAACGTTAAAGAAAGTCACCCAGTGGTAACACCTCACTAGTCTTATTATAGAAATTAATACCTACATTTAATGCTGAATCACATTTTAAAGATATGCCTACATAGATTATTTTAAAATTGATACATACTTAACTTTACTAAATGTTTAATTGCAAAACTATTCGCAATTATTGTTATAATAAATAATTTCTGTTATAAATAAGTACTTATTAAGTTATAAGCGTCAAGAGATCATGCAGAATTTAAAATATTTTTTATCCGTCCACATTTAGTCAGTATCTGTTTTTCAAGTTAATTATTGTTTTATCTGTTTTTAGACCGTAGCAACGGTACCATTTCGAACATTACAAGAATGGGCACCAACCTTACAATTAACGCACATTACAAATTGGACTACTCTGCAACATGAACCTGATAATGATCAAAAAGTAATTTTTGCATAAAATATATTAATTAAAAACATGTCTGACCGTTTTTATTTTATAAGGATGCCGCAGAGTTCGCATTGGAATCGAGTAAATGTCCAACTAATATTATGGATATGCTTGGTTTGAATAGTCATATAAGTCAATGGCCTGATCATTTAAAAAATACAGCCGGAACAGGCCCTAACATAGATAATATAAGAACCTTGACATGTAGACGTATTCCAGGAGCACCAATAGTATACGTGGGCTATCCTGACACATCTAACGATTTGGTGCCTCTGCCAGGAATTTTATTAATTTTGGAAAACATTATATGAATTGTGGATTCTAATTAAAATCGACCCAGCAAAATATAATAACACCATTCAAAAAATCATAAATTTAAAAAAATATATATACTGATAGTGAAAAAATCTAAATATTTTAAACAATAATTACATTTTAGTTGATTTATAAATGATTTTGTAAACATAATTTGCCTAAATACCTATTACGTAAAGCATAGTACGCTTATCTAAAATGTTTAAGTGTCTTTGCTAACCGAATTAAATAAAATGAATGTATTGTATTGATTGAAACATTGATTTAATAAAGCTATAAAATTCCTTCCTCTATTTTATTTTATTTTATTTTATTCCTCTATTTTATACTCTTCAGTATTTAGGATGTTCTAAATTACTTGTTTTTTTTTATAATGTGACAATTTATTCGCTCTCATCGTTGAGATCTCAAAAAGTATATGTCAAAAATAATATTTATTTACATAAACACTATACTAATTGGTAAAAATTGGCTTACTTATTGACATGTGCTAGAAGTCTGAGATAGGTAAACAAATTTTTATTTAATTACTTCAACTACAAATATGCATTGTACACCTAATTCTTGTAATAACTAAATTTTAGTTGGACCAAGTTTTTGTTAAGTCAGTACAACTAGAAGTGTTTTAGTTTGACCAACTTTGTATTTTTGAAAGAGTTAGTTATTTACATAATATTTTAACATTTTAACTTATTTTGTTTGAAAAATATCAGGAATATTTTTAATATTGGACAATTATTTTATACAAAGCAAACAAGCATTGTTTTTTGCTAGCGAAATATTTTATCCGGCTCTGCTGTTTTTGAGAAATATGAACAATCTATTATTTTACAAATTACATAACCTTTTACGTCATACTTGAATACATCTGTTTTCATATAGGAATAACATTTGTTAAATAATGTACATAATATCAATTTAAATTTTTTTCGACTCATTATGGAATACAAAACAATTAATTGTGAGGGTTTTAAAAATAACTGATCATACTTAAACTTTGGGAAAATTTAGGGACATGATAAATTTCAAGTTGGCAAAACTAAATAAATTATTGGCCCAAATCCCAACTAAATGTTAAATTTGTAATCATTAATTCAACAAGTAGTTTTTTGTACCCCTAGAATAAACAAACTTTTAGTTCGACCAAGTTTTTATTAAGTCAGTTCAACAAGAAATGTTTTATACCCTTATATTGACCATAGTCTTGGTTGGCCCTACTTTGTATATTTGGAAAATTTAATTATTTACTTCGAAGGAATATTTGAAATATACGACAAGTATTTTTTACACGCTAACTATAAATATTTTGTATATATATAGTTATTATATAGACATTACCTAACAGTTGTTATTGGAATGGCTGGCTACAGTAAAATAAACATGAAAGCTGTTATAAATACCTAAGACTAACAAATGTTCAGTGCCGTTTTTGTTTTTTTTGTCAAGTTGTTGCTTAATAATACAGGTATTTCACAGTAGATAAACGAAAAAAATGTTATGGAAAATTATATTTTTGTTGTCGTGTTTTAACGTTTTAGTGAACGCTACTGGAGGATGGTTCTCAAAATGGTTTTCAACACCTCCAAGCCAGGTATATAATATAATCGAGTAATGTCTTTTAATTATTTTTTTTAGTTGGTACAAAATAAATGTTAAGTTTATCATTACTCCACAAAATGTTTTGCGTTCTAATAATAAAAAATTTAAGTAATTTCATCACACTATACAAATTATCTCAAACATTTTCAAATGTAATCACATTTTAGGCGGAATTCTACTTTATTGGATACCATTTTTTTTTTAAATCGATAGAACAAAATGACAACTCCACATAGCTTGTAAAATCAATAATGACACTAATTTGGGATTTCTCTGCGGGTAATGTGATATTATTTAAAATGAATTCGTCTTATTTTTGCAGAGTAATTTGCTGAACGTGGTGAGTCACTAATAACCAGTTTTGGATAATTAATTTTTAAGTCATACATAATTAACTTTACTAAACGTTTAATTGTAAAACTATACGTTTATTATTGTTATAGTTAATAAAATTCTGTTATGAATATGTACTTATCAAGTACATAGCTGTATTTGGTATGATAAGAAGAAACTGTTCGATTTTCATGATCCACTTGCTCTCAAATGTCTATATACCTCACTAGTCCGTTCCTTATACGCTCTCTATTAATTTGGGACCACAACAATGGGGGACTTAATGATCAACTTGAAAAAGTACCAAATAAAGTCCTCAGATTTATATGTCATAAATGTAATTTTCCAAGAACTCCTCACACTCGCCACAATCATTTATTTTATATTCCACATTCTTCTAAAATGTATACGTCAAACGACCCAATTAATATTTTAATGTCTTCTGGAAATAGTCAATTATTTTAATATACATTGCATGTATGTATGTATTATTATTATTATTTAGAAGATAAAAACAAGAATACAGGCAGGCAATAGATGCTATTTTGGATTGAATAAGCTGTTTAAGTCAAGAATGTTGTCTAAGAGCCCAAAGGTACAACTGTATAGAACTCTTATTCGGCCAGTGGTGATGTATGGATGCGAAACTTGGACGCTTCATAAGATACAACAGAATAATCTCTTAGTACTTGAACGAAAAGTTTTGAGGTCGATTTTTGGCCCTTGCATAGATAGGAATACAGGAGAATGGAGAATCAGACATAATGTGGAGATCAGGGAGCTATATCAGAAACCAAACATAGTCGACGATATAAGAAAGAGGCGGCTTTTGGGCTGGCCACGCATGGCGAAAAGAGGGCGCCTTTATACACAAGGTACTATGTGGCTCTCCAGAAGGCGTAAGACCACATGGTAGAACAAGGTTGAGGTGGGAAGACCAGGTGTCAAAAAGATGTGGAGCGGGTTGAACCGGATGCTGATTGGCGTGTCCTAGCGGAGGATAGAGAGAGATGGCGTGGCATGTGTTTGTCAGTTTTGTCTTAAAGACCGTCCACTACGAAGAAGATATCTTATTATTTTAAATTATATTATACTGTTGTGATTTATACAAATATATTGTGAATTGGACATTTGTCCGTATTGATAAATAAATACTGCAGACTGTAAAATATTTTTCATCCGTCAGTATTTATTTTTCAAATTAATTATTGTTTATTTTTTTTTTTTTTAGACCGAAGAGCCGAATTTATTTCAACGTATTGAACAGTGGATAGAGTCACTAGAAGTGAAGGTCGTTAAATTTTGGGGTCCTTTGGCACGAAAACCTAACCAAGATCAAAAAGTAATTTTTGTATAAATTACATTATTCAAAAATATGTTTAACCGTTTTTTTTTTTTTAAAGAGAAAGGCAAAAGCCGCATTGGAGGATAGTAAATGTCCAACTGGTGCTGTGGACACTATACTTTTGAACAGTCATATACGTAACTGGCCTGAACAAATATTAAATACACGTAACGATGATTATGACTTAGAGAGTATTAAACAATTGATATGTAGACGTATTCCAGGATCACGAGTAGTATACGTGGCCCATTCTGATAACGATTTTGTGTCTCAGGCAGGAATTTTATTCATTTTCGAAAGCCTTGTATTCGAGGAACCGGTCCAACAGAATTTAATTTCGCCATTAATAAAACTTTAATTTTTAAATTATATATACCGATATTGAAAAAATATAAATATTTTTAACAATAATTACATTTTAGTTGATTTATAAATGATTTTGTAAACCTAATTTGTTTACAAACCAATTACATAAAGCATACTACGCTTATCTAAAACGTTTATTTGTGCTTGCTAATGGAATTAAATAAAATGAATAAATTATATTGATTTGGACATTGATTTAATAAAGCTATGTAATTCCTTCCTCTATTTTATTTTATTTTATTCTTCTATCTTATAATACTCTGCGTCGAGACGCATAAGCAATAGGACTTTCGGAACTATTAGGTATAAATATGCGATAAAACAATGCAATTCTAGGCGGAATTACTAAAAACAAAGTTGGCCCAACTAAATGTTTACTGGAGCAAATTTGATTTAGTCATTTCTTCTATAATACTTTTGTGCCTTTTTGTAACCATACTTTTGGTTGAATCAAATTTTTATCAAGTCAGTCCATCTAGACATTTATGTGCCCTTATATAAACCATAGTTTTAATTGGGCAAACTTTGAATAAATTAAGTTAATCATTAAGACAATATTAAAGTACTATTTTCTAGCTTACATATTTATGAAGTGATATGATATAATTTGATAGTTGATACAACGAAACTCTGATCGTGGAAAACAAACCCGTATGAAGTGTGTCAACAAGCCCCGGTCTCCTTTAAGTAATGACAGATGTTTATTGTTAAACACAAATATAAAAAAAATAAGTAATATATTCATACAAATTGTACTTAAATTAATGAATGAATACATGTTTATATCAATAGTATTGTATTTAGAGGAATGTTGCTTAAGTTATAGGCATCACAAGGTACATCATGTACCTATTACATTTTGTTGTTTGCTCGGGTTTTTTTATAAAAACATTATTTATCAATGATTTTCTGACTTGAGGCTCTGTATAATAATATTTTAACATTTTGATATATTTGATTCGAAAAATATCAGGAATATTTGAAATATTGGACAATTATTTTACACAAAGCCAACAAGCATTGTTTTTTGCTAGCGAAATATTTTATCCGGCTCTGGTGTTTTTTATAAACATGAACATTCTATTATTTTACAAATAACATTACATTATGCGTCATAAATAAATCTGTGTTTGTATAATTTTCATAACATTTGTTAAATAATGTATATTATATCCATTTAAATGTTATTCGACAGATAATATTTTCCAAATTTGTTAATTGTTAGTGTTTCAAAAAGGAAAACTAAAAATTACAATTATTTCTAAAAAAAATAGTGTTTTCTCCTTAATGAATCATCTGTCTAAAACATAAAATATTTATTTCGTATCTTTTTACTCTTAAACTATGGTAAATATAGGGAAACAATTTAAAGTCTCAAGTTTAAGGCAGAAGGAAAGATGGAGTGTAGTATCATTTTTTTCTGCGAGCATTTCCCAACCGCACTTCCTCTCCCTTCAGAACTCTACCTTTCCTCCTGCCATAAACTTGAAATTTCAATAACTTCAAAAATAGTTATTGAAAACCGGTTCTCGATCAGTCTAAATGTTTAGTACATTATTCTCAATTAAAAAAGTTAATTAAATATATGCGTTACCATTTAAGTTTTAAAAGTTGCTATCAAAAAAAACTAATTTGGGAGGGGGTAAAAACAAAAAAAATCGTGAAAATTTTCAATCACGCTGTATAAAAACAATATGAAAACCAAATATACATCTTGTACCATTTTATTCATTCCAATTTTACTTTTAACACTCGACATATAATACTCATTTAGTCAATACATAGTTTATGTTTTTATACTTCTGAAATACAATGTTAACGGATGTTATTAGAATAGCTGGTTAGTGGTTACAGTAAAATAAACATGAAAACTATTATAAATATCTAAAACTAACAAATGTTCAGTGCTGTTTCTGATTTTTTTTGTCAAGTTGTTTCTTAGTGTTACAGGTAGATTTTCACAGTAGATAAACGAAAAAATGAATTGGAAAATTATATTTGTGTTGCCATGTTTTACCGTTTTAGTAAACGCCGGTGGCGGTAACCCATCTAGTTCAAATTCCTCAAGCCAGGTAAATATAATCGATTAATGTCTTTTATATATTTTTTTTAGCAGGTACTGAATAAATAGTATGTTTATAATTATTCCAAAAAATGTTTTGCATTCTAAGAATAAACAATTTAAGTTATTTTATCATACTATACAAATTATCTCAAACATTTTAAAAAATGTAATAACATTTAGTTGTAAATCTACTTTATTGGATACCATTTTTTTTTTAAATCGATAGATCATTTCTTACTGATTTCGGGACTGCAAAAATGAATAATTGCGTGTACTACCTATAGTGAGGTAGTACACTAACTCACCTAACCGTCCATCGTGTAGGTTTTTTTTTACTTAATTGAATAGTCTATACTCGTACCAATATGTATAGTTTTCCAAAATGATAACTACACATAGCTTATTAAATCAATAATAACACTATTTTGTTTTATTTTTTATACACATTCATTCTAGTTTAAAATGTAAGACGGCTGACGGTGGGGTGCGGTTAAGTAGGTGTTTAATGCAGATACTACACTACCTACATCCCGTTTAAAATTGTAAATTTGATGACAACCTCCCCATCACTACAAGACCTCAAACCCACTGTGGCCTGATTTTTTTTTCAACATAAAAAAGAGAAAAAAATATCTGTGTTGCATAGATTGAATTATCAAAAAACCAAAAACGCTACACCGACATCGTAGGTAAAGTTTTAGGAGAAGTTTCAGAGCTTAAGATCTAAAAAATAGACTGAAAGTAATAAAAGAACGGAGCTATAACAAAATATGTTATTTTCTGAAAAATTTGTATTCAAACTATTAATTTATTAAGGAAAAACAATAAAAGTAGAAAATTACATTTAAATTGAAAATAGTCTCATAGTCCCTATAATCATAATAGTTATATAACTTTCAATCGTAATTCAAACCGACCTCTGACATCCTATTAAAATAATCCATCCCCACGTGATCCAACCCCTACTGTAATGAATAAGTGCTTATTAAGCTATCAGCGTTAAGAGAACATGCTGACTGTAAAAAACAATTTTCCGTCCGCACTTAGTCAGTATTTGTTTTTCTAATTCATTACCGTTTATTTTTTTTTTCAGAGTGAAGCACCGGATCTATTTAAATTTATTGGAGATTGGATAAATTCCTCAAGCCATTTTGGATTTACTGTAATTTTTTTTTTTTCAAGTACATAATAAAAATTAGTTGGTACTAGTTTAATACACTCTAAATTAACACTGGATCACATTTTAAAGATACGCCTATAAGAATTATTTTAAAGTTGATGCAAACTTAACTTTCTTAAATGTTAAAATATAAAACTATACGTTTACTTATCAAGTTTTTAACGTTAAGAGAACATGCAGACTGTAAAATATTTTTTATCCGGCCATACTTAGTCAGTGTTTAATTTTCAAATTAATTAATTTTTTTTTTAGACCGAACCACCGGTAACATTTAAGCGTGTTGAAGTTTGGACAAATTCACTAGAAGTAAAAACCATTACAGATTGGACTACTTTGACACAAAATCCTAATGATGATCAAATAGTAATTTTGGTATAAAATACATCATTTAAAAACATGTTTAACCGTTTTATTTTTTTTTTTAAGAGTTCCACAAGGGATGCTTTGACTAAGAGTGGATGTCCAAGTGGTATTGTGGATATTCTTCTTTATAACAGTGATTTACGTAACTGGACAAATCATTTAAAAAATAGACGTAATGATGGTTATGACATAGATAATATGAAAAAATTGACATGTAGAAGTATTCCAGGAGCACCAGTAGTATACGTGGCCCGTTCTGATAACGAATTGGTGCCACCGACAGGACTATTATTCATTTTCGATAGCCTTGTACTCGAGGAACCGGTCCAGCAGAATTCAATTTCGCCATTAAAAAAAACAAAAATTAAAAAATATATATACCGATATTGAAAAAAATCTAAACGTTTTAAACAATAATTACATTTTAGTTGATTTATAAATGATTTTGTAAACCTAATTTGCTTACATACCTATTACATAAATTATACTACACTTATCTAAAACTTTTAATTGTCTTTGCTAACCGAATTAAATAAAATGAATGTATTATATTGATTGACATTGATTTAATAAAGCTATACAATTTCTTCCTCTATTTTATTTTATTCTTCTATTTTATAATACTCTTCAGTATTTAGAATGTTCTAAACTACTTGTTTTTTATAACAGGGAGATTTATTTCACTCACTGTTGAGTTCACAAAATGTATTTGTCAAAAATAATATTTATTTACATAAACCCTATACTAGTTTGTAAAAAGCTGTTTACTTATTGACATGTGCTAGAAGTCAGAGATAAGTGATGACGGATGAGTTTTGTTAAATACAAATATTAAAAAAAATATGGCTAACTATGTTTATAGATGGGCTACTGAAGATGAGTTCATCTGTTAAATATATAAAATAAGCAAATAAATATTGTGATTTATTTGCTGTCATCTTTGTGATCTCAAATAGTGCATGTCAAAAATAATATTTATTTACATATACATAACATAACTAATTGGTAGAAAGTGGCTTACATAATGGCATGTGCTAGAAATTTGAGATAAGTAATGACAGATGTTTCATGTTAAACACAAATATAAAAAAATCACTTTTAAATAAACGCTTCGATACCAATCTGGGGATAGTATGTTCAAACCAGTTATAGCGGTTTAGAAGATATTGTGGGACCACTAGTACTATGTTTGAAGAACAATTCATATAAATTTGGATCATTTTTGACTATTTTTAAAAAAGTTATGGAGCATCGTAATTTTAAGTTAAAAAATTTGTAAATTGTTTAGAAGCTTTCTCAATTTTAATGGGGAAGGGGAGACTTTTTTTAATTTTTAACATGGTTAAGTACCTTTCAGATATGATTTCTGCTCCATAGAGTTGCTACACAAAAAAATCGGTTAAGCGGTTTACGAGATATCGTGGGTCCAGACACAAAAATAAAAAATAAAAACACATAATTGTAAAAACAATACCTTGTCGGCTCCGCATCGAAGCTAAAAAATATATAAGTAATATATTTATATACATTTTGTTTGGACGATAATCAGTTATGGATAATTATTTTTGAAGATATTGAAGTTTCAAGTTTAGAGCAAGAGGAATGGTGAAGTGTAATTTTTTCTGCGCGCATTTCCCAACCGCACTTCCCCTCCCATCCTAACTTTAAAACGTTTATAAATTTAAAAATAGTTATCCAAAACTGGTTATCGACCAGTCAACGTTTTTAGTATATTATTCTCAATGTAAAAAGTTAATAAAATACAAATGTTACCATTCAAAATTCAAAAGTTGCTGTCAAAACAAGTTGGGAGTAGGGGAAAAACAATAAAAATGGTAAAAATTAAAATCACATTATATCAAAATAACGTGAAAAAAAAATTGTAATTTCTTATAAAACCCTATGAGATATAGAGTGGTTCATTTTAAAGAATCACCCTGTATGCCTTGTCACAATTAGATGACCAATTCATTGCGTAATATAGAATAATATAATGGTTTTAATATGTCTGCTACTAATATACGTAAGTTACTAAGGCCAAAAAAGACTTAAGCATTATATTATTTTCTGATACAGAGGCCTTTACGATTGCGTTAGTAAGTTTTGATACCGTATGTAAGCCATTTTCATCTATTCTAAGCAGTAAGTTTTATTTTTGTGTCCTTATATTTTTTGACATTATAACAGGTTGCATAAAAATTATTTTTCAACGATTTTCTGACGTGAGGTTCGGAATACTAAAATATTTAACAATTTGAAATTTTTTTTTCGAAAAATTTGGAATATTCGATATATTGACCATTTATTTTATATAAAGCAGAAAATGTTTTTTGGTAGCGAAATATTTTATCCGGCTCTGCTGTTTATTAGAAACATGAACGTTGTGTTATTTTACAAATAACATTGTCTTTTGCGTCATACTTTAATACATCTGTTTTTATAAAGGAATAACATTTGTTAAATAATGTACATTATATCAATTTGAATTTTGTTCGACTCATTATGGTTTACAAAACAATTAATTGTAAATGTATTTTATACATTGATCCTACTTAAACTTTGGGATAATATAAGGACAAGATAAATCTCTAGTTGAAAAAACTAAATAAATAATTGGCGCAAGTTCCAACTAAATGTTAAATTTGTATTCAATATTTCAACTAGTAGTTTTTTGTACCCCTAGAATAACCAAACTTTTAGTTCGACCAAGTTTTTATTAAGTCAGTTCAAAAAGAAATATTTTATACCCTTATATTGACCATAGTCTTGGTTGGACCTACTTTGTATATTTGGAAGATTTACTTATTTACTTAAATTTATAGGTATCACAACGTACAACTTGTGCACATTATGTTTTGTTATTTGCACGAGTTTCCTTATTAGAAACTTATTTACTATTGATTTTCTAAATTGAGGCTCTGTATAATAATATTTTAACATTTTAACTTATTTTGTTCGAAAAATATCAGGAATATTTAAAATATTGGACAATTATTTTATTCAAAGCAAACAAGAATTGTTTTTTGCTGGCGAAATATTTTATCCGGTTCTGCTGTTTTTTAGAAACATGAACAATCTATTGTTTTACAAATAACATTGCCTTTTGCGTCATACTTTAATACATCTGTTTTCATATAGGAATAATATTTGCTTAATAATGTACATTATATCAATTTAAATTTTGTTCGACTCATTATGGCTTACAAAACAATTAATTTTTAAGGATTTAAAAAAAAAACTGATCCTACTTAAACTATGGGAAAATTAAGGGACATGATAAATTTCTAATAGGAAAAACTAAATAAATAATTGACCCAAGTTCCAACTAAATGTTAAATTTGTATTAAGTAAATATGTTCAATAACATTGGTCCTACATAAACGTCGAGATTATAAAAGAACACGATAAATTTCTAGTTTAATCCCTGTGTTAACCAAATTTTAGTTGGACCAAGTATAAGTCAGTACAACAAGACGTGTATTATACATTTATGTATTTAGTTTTAATAATTACTGTGAATTTATGATACACCTTATATCATTGTATACATTACAATTTTACATTTAACACTCGACATATAATACTCAATTTATCAATACATAGATTATGTTTGTATCCTTCTGTAAAACAATGTTAACAGATGTTAGTAGAATAACTGGCTTCAGTAAAACAAACATGAAAGTTGTTATAAATACCCAAAACTAACAAATGTTCAGTGCTGTTTCTGATTTTTATTTTTCAAGTTGTTTCTTAGTAATTCAGGTATTTCAGAGTAGCTAAACGAAAAAATGATTTGGAAAATTATAATTTTGTTGTTGTGTTTTAACGTTTTAGTGAATACTTCTTCTTCTCCTTCTGCCTCTTCTTCTGGATGTTTACCACTCGGTCCTTGTGTAAACATTTTGAACGCGGTAAATATAATCGAGTAATGTCGTTTAGTTATTTTTTTTTTTTTAGTAGGTATAAAAATTAATTTAGGTTTTTCAAAATTGCACAAAATGTTTTGCACTCATAGAATAAAAAATTTAAGTAATCATACTATACATATTTTCTCAACAAATGTCAAATTTAATAAAATGTTGTGTATAAATCTTCTTTATTGGATATCTTTTTTTTTTTAAATCGATACCTAGTACTTTTTATGTTGATTTCGGAACTGCATAAAGAAATGACTGCGCGTACTACCTATAGTGAGTTTACATGATAATTTATATTATGTCGTCTCGCATTCCCCCGCCTGTCGTATAAGTTTTTTTTCTACCTATTTAATTTTAAACTTGGTTGTCACCTCCCCGACCGCGCTGTGCCCTATTTTTTCCTAACGATTTTACAAACTCAAAATAGAGAAGAGAAAAAATATATGTGTTACATAGATCAAATTATCAAAAAACTAAAAATGCTACACCTACATCGTAGGTACAGTTTTAGGAGAAGTTTCAGGAATTAAGATGTAAAAAATAGGCTGAAGGTAATTTTAGAATAGGGCTATTACATATTATGCAAATTTCTTAAAAATTCGTATTCAAACTATTGATTTATCAGGGAAAAACAATAAAAGTAGAAAAGTGCACATTAACTTTTATTTATTCTCATATTTTTTAAAATTTTAGTTATTATACCACTTTTAGTTGTAATAATTCTTTTACATCTCTGTCCCAACCCCACGGTTTTGGCTTATTTTTTGTTACATACGAACGAGTACAGCCATATGGAAAATAATGTAACTGTTTTTTTTTTGTTTTTAAGTACATAATACAAATTAGTAGGTTTACATTAATACATTTTAATCTAACGCTGAATCACGTTTCAATGATATGCCTACATTTATTTTTTTTAACTTGATACATAACTACTTAACTTTATTAAACGTTTAATTGCAAAACTATACGTTAATTATTGTTATGATACATTAACTTTGTTATGGATAAGTATGTATTTATCAAGTTCGTAGCGTCAAGAGATCATGCAGACTGTAAAATATGTTTTATTCGTCTACAATTGGTCAGTATTTGTTATTCAAATGAATTACAGTTTAATTTTTTTTTAGATCGCAATAAATAAACCACCGAAATTAAAATATTCACGTACTGAAGATTGGATAGCTTCACTAAAAATTCAGGAGATTACAGATTGGACTAATTTGATAATGGAACCTACTGAAGAACAAATAGTAATTTTTGTATAAAATACATTATTTGAAAACATGTTAAACCGTTTTTATTTTTTAAGAAAAAAACAAAGAAAAGATTAGAAAGCAGTGGATGTCCAAGTGGAGCTTCGGGTGTTATTTCTATGAACAGTCAATTTTGTAACTGGCCTAATCATATAAAAAATACACGTCAAGATAATTATGACATAAATGCTTTAAAAAACTTGACATGTAGACGTATTCCAGAAAAACCAATATTATACGTGGGCAATTCTGATAACCGTTCGGTGGCTATCCCAGGAATTGTATTCACTTTCGCAAGCCTTGAACCATATGTGGAACCTGCTTCCACCAGTAGGCCCACCATAGAATAATTTCAATATTCAAAAGTCCATTAATTTTAAAATATATAAACTGATGTAAAAAAATCTAAACATTTTAAAGAATATTTAAATTTTAGTTCATTTATATAAGAAAGAATATTTATATTCGGTTTGTAAACCGAATTTATTTACATACCTATTACATAAATTATACTACACTTATCTAAAACTTGTAATTGTCTTTGCTAACCGAATTAAATAAAATTAGTGTATTATATTGATTGACATTGATTTAATAAAGCTATACCATTTCTTCCTCTATTTTATTTTATTCATCTGTTAAATATAAAAAATAAGCAAATAAATATTGTGATTTATTTGCTGTCATCGTTGTGATATCAAAAAGGACATGTCAAAAATAATATTTATTTACATAAACCCTATACTAATTGGTAGAAAGTGGTTTACTTAATGGCATGTGGTAGAAGTCTGAGATAAGTAATGACAGATGTTTCATGTTAAACACAAATATAAAAAAAAAAATCACTTTTAAATAAACGCTTCGAACAATTAAACTGTGAATAATTAAGATCACATTATATCACAATAACGTGAAAAAAAAATTTTTAATTTCTTATAAAACCCTATGAGATATAGAGTGGTTCATTTTAAAGAATCACCCTGTATGCCTTGTCACAATTGGATGACCAATTCATTGCGTAATAGAGAATAATATAATGGTTTTAATATGTGTGCTACTAATTTACGTAAGTTAATAAGGCCAAAAAAGACTTAAGCATTATATTATTTTCTGATACAGAGGCATTTACGATTGCGTTAGTAAGTTTTGATATCGTGTGTAAGCCATTTTCATCTATTCTAAG